ACGAACGAAGGCGCAGACGGAAGACGTGAAGGTAAGCATCGTTACTTCCTCCATTTGCACTCCTAGCCTTAAGACAGTGAATGTTGCTGTTACCGGCCGGTCAAAGAGGGGCATGGCGATTGAGCAGAGCCAACCATCGACGATTGGAGATGCTAACCAACGAAGACGCAGACGGAAGACTGGAAGGTGTGACTTTGTACTTCGTCCACTTACTCTCCATGCCTACCTGCAGAGCCTGTGGCCGTTACTGGCCGGTCAAAGAGGGAGTTGTCGATTGAGGAGAGCCAACCATCGACGATTGGAGAAGCTAACCAACGAAGACGCAGACGGAAGACTGGAAGGTATGACACTGTACTTCGTCCACTTACTCTCCATGCCTACCTACAATGCCGGTGACCGTTACAGGCCGGTCAAAGAGGGAGTTGTCGATTGAGGAGATCCAACCATCGACGATTGGAGAAGCTAACCAACGAAGACGCAGACGGAGGACTGGAAGGTATGACTCTGTACTTCGTCCACTTACTCTCCATGCCTACCTACAGTGCCTGTGGCCGTTACTGGCCGGTCAAAGAGGGAGTTGTCGATGGAGGAGAGCCAACCATGGACGATTGGAGAAGCTAACCAATGAAGGCGCAGACGGAAGGCTGGAAGGTATGACACTGTACTTCGTCCACTTACTCTCCATGCCTACCTACAATGCCGGTGACCGTTACAGGCCGGTCAAAGAGGGAGTTGTCGATGGAGGAGAGCCAACCATGGACGATTGATGAAGCCAACCAACGGAGGCACAGATGGAAGACGTAAAAGGAAGACTCTATACGTCGTTTATTTACTGTCCATGCCTACCTACAGTGATTGTGCCATTGTCTGCTAGCGATGAGGGATTCTCTACGAAAGATGAATGCTCAGGTTGACATAGGGTACCGCATGGTATTGCAAGCGTGTAATCGCATACCCTTTTTATTGTACACCTAACTGTTGAATGTTACTGATGTGGCAAACCGGCTGCCTAAGACAGTCGGAGACGATTTTCCCTACCTCGCTGTATGTCCACTGTATTGTTCCTTTTCCTAATTCGGAGTAAAATTGCATTTGTCTATGGCGTTGTTCGTGATTCCGGTGCTGCTAAGCCTCCGGAATGAGAGAAGGTGTAATACGCAGTTGAGTAAATTTCATTTACAGGGCTGCGTCAGCTGATATGTGCCTATGGATCACTAATGGGGGAATTGAACGGACGTTGTCTGTGGGATGGGCGGCTATCTCTAGCAGTAGTAACGTAGCCATCATCGCACGGTAAGGATTGCGACTGATCGACCAACCTTGGAGGCTTAGTACGTGAACATATTTACCTACGTAGAATAATGCAATGACGTCCACGAAGCCTCGTCGATAAACCCTTATAGGGCAGGAAGGGAGTGATTACTGAAGGCCTTTAGTGCGGGAACTGGGAGGTACGTAGAGACTATCGTAGGCCGCAGCCGGCCATGGTAGACGGTAAGTAGGAATCGCTGTAGCTGGTAACGGGCGACGTGAACCATCTGCGGGGAAGGGCATATCAGGTCAACTAACAAAGCCGGTTGGGAGGGACAGTAGACTGTGAAGCAGGCGGAAATGGAAACAGCCGGTGAAGGAATTGTCGATTGCGGTAAGCTTGCGTAAAGGGGAGCGGGAGTGCGGGGATTGATGTTGGGACGGCGTAGATTACAGGCCTTTGGAAGGGGGGAGGGGGAAAGGCGTGGGCTAGGCGGTGAGGGAGCGGTAGGGGTATATGTAAATACCGCAGTGGTCTAAGAGCCTGATGCCTTTGGTAGTAGCTACCCCACAGTGAAAGTCGTATGTTTGGACGGC